ATCTCAACTGGGCTGGCAGTATAATCTCCACAATCCCTGTATCATAGGCCACTGAGACACCTGCAGACATTTCCAATGTTAATTAAAGATAAAGCTATGCTAGGGCCAGCGGCCTGGAGCAGTAGGTTAATCCTCCACCTGCAGTGCCAGCATCCCATATGGGCGCTGGTTCTAGACCCGGCTGTTCCTCTCCCAATGCAAGTCTCTGCTATGGCCTGGGAAAGCAGTGGAAGATGGCCCAAGTGCTTAGGCCCCTGCACCTGCATAGGAGACCTGGAAGAAGCTCCTGACTTCTGATCAGCACAGCTCCAGCCATTGCAGCCATTTGGGGAGTGAACCAACTGAAGGAAGACCTTTTTCTCTATATCTCCCTCTCACTGCCTGTAACTATATCTCTCAAATAAATAAATAAAATCTTTTTTAAAAAAAAAAGATAGAGCTATGCCAACATTACACTAAGAATCTGTCTGGAACTAAAGCCAATACACTACATCCAACTAATATCCTAGGACAAACTGCCTACACAAAGTTTCTTACTACAAAAGCCACCTGTATAACTGGTAGAAGCAATTGACCCACCACAGACATAAAAACCAAAGTAGGGAGAACAAGAAGCAAGGGATTATGTCTCCAAAGGAACACAATAAATCTCAAGCAACAGTCCCCTCTCCCCAGCCCAAAAAAATGGAAATCAACAACCTGATTGGCAAAGAATTCAAAAGAATAATTTTTAGGAAATTTAATGAGGTACAAGAGAACACAGACTGGGAAGTCAACAACATTTGAAAGATCATTCATGAAATGAATGAGAAATTCAGTAAAGAGAGATCATAAGAAAGAACCAATCAAAAGTCTTCAAGCTAAAGAACTAAAAAAAATGAAATTGTATTCAAGAGCTTCAACAGCAGGAATGAACATGCAGAAAAAAAGATTTCTGAGCTTAAAGATGAGTCTTTTAAAATAACCCAGACAATAGAAAAAATAGAAATAAAGAATGGCTTTGAGAATGACAGGACAATATTAAGCAAACATTTTTCTTTCTTGTACTCACCAGGTTTTTTTCAAAAAAGATTTTATTTATTTATTTGAGAGGTAGAGTTACAGACAGAGGGAGAGACAGAGAGAAAGGTCTTCTATCTGTTGGTTCACTCCTCAATGGCCGCAATGACCAGAGCTGTGCTGATCTGAAGCCAGGAGCCAGGAGCATCTTCCAGTCTCCTATGTGGGTGCAGCAGCACAAACACTTGGGCCATCTTCCACTGCTTTCCCAGGCCATAGCAGAGAGCTGGATCAGAAGTGGACTGGGACTCGAACTGGCACCCATTTGGGATGCTGGCCCCACAGAGCCGGCCCCCTCACTAGGTTTTGATATAAGGGTTCTGTTTGTCTTTAAAAATGATTTGGAAAGCATTTGATCCTTCTTCATTTTCTGAAAGGACACATTATTGTGCTGTTATTTCTTCTTTAAATGTTTGGTAGGATAGAATTCAGCAATATTTAGGAGGTATTTAGGCCTTTAGTTATCTCTTGGGGAATATTTTTTAAAATTAATTTAATTTACTAAATGATTATGGGGCTATAAATAAATGTTGTCTTTCCATGTCAGTCTTCCAAATATGTGTTTCTGAAGAAACTGAATTTCATACATGATGCTAAAACTGTGGGCATAAAACTGTTTAACATCCTTTAAAAAATTAAAAATAGGGGAAGGCATTTGACACATTAGTTAAATCACCATTTGGGATGCGTGCATGCTATATCTGCGTGCCTGGTGAGTCCCAGATACTCCACTTCTGATCCAGCTTCCTGCTAATGCACAACCTAAGAAGCAGCAGTAATGGCTCAAGTATTTGGATCCCTGCCACCCGCATGAGAGCCCCAAGTTGAGGCCTGGGCTCTTGGATTTGGCCTGTCTTTAGCCCTGGTTTGTTGCAGGCATTGAGGAGTGTTCCAGGAGATAGAAGATCTCTATACACCTGCTCTCCCCCATCCCTTCCAAATAAAATGAAAATACAAGTTATATTTAAAAATATAAACAAAAATATAGCTATACTATCATACAATCATACTACTACTGTGTAAACATACAAAAGAAATAAAACAGTTTGTTAAATATAAAAAGAGACATCCGCTCTCCCATGTCTATTGTAGGACTGTTCACAATAGCCAAGATATAACGTCAACCTATGTGTGATCAATAGATGAGTGGATAAAGAAAATGTTCTATGTATATATATATATGTGTGTTAATCTATTATTCAGTCACAAAAAAGTTAGAAATTCTGTCATTTGTGACAGCATAGATGAACCTAAAGAACAATTATATATAGGAGCAGGTGCCATGGTTCACTTGGTTAATCCTCCACCTGCGGCGCTGGCATCCCACATGGGTGCCGGGTTCTAGTCCCAGTTGCCCCTCTTCCAGTCCAGCTCTCTGCTGTGGCCTGGGTAGGCAGTGGAGGATGGCTGAAGTGGTTGGGCCTCTGCACCCACGTGGGAGACCAGGAAGAAGCACCTGGCTCCTGGCTTCGGATCGGCGTAGTTCCAGCCATAGTGGCCATTTGGGGGGTGAACCAATGCATGGAAGACCTTTCTCTCTGTCTCTCTCTCTCTCTCTCTCACTGTCTAACTCTATCTGTCAAATGAAAAAAAAAAAAAAAGAACAATTATATACAATTGCAAGTCAGTTAAAAAAAAAAGAGAAAGTTTACAGAAAAGTACTTCCATTAAAATAACTTCTAATAGAATGGAAATACAATCTATAGTACCTATACTATCAGACAAGTCATACAATAATTTTTTAAAACTTATACTACAGGATGGCACCACGGCTCAATAGGCTAATCTTCCGCCTGTGGCGCCGGCACACCAAGTTCAAGTCCCAGTCCGGGCGCCGGATTCTGTCCTGGTTGCTCCTCTTCCAGTCCAGCTCTCTGCTGTGGCCAGGGAGTGCAGTGGAGGATGGCCCAAGTGCTTGGGCCCTGCACCCGCACGGGAGACCAGGAGAAGCATCTGGCTCCTGCCATCAGATCAGCGCGATACGCCGGCCGCAGCGTGCTGGCCTCGGCGGCCATTGGAGGGTGAACCAACGGCAAAAGGAAGACCTTTCTCTCTGTCTCTCTCTCTCTCTCACTGTCCACTCTGCCTGTCAAAAAATTTTTAAAAAAAAAACTTATACTACAAAAAGAAGAGAAGAAATTTAAGAAAAAAGTAGAAAATATAAGCTTCAGATAGTAAAATGAATAGGTTATCAATAAGTACAATTATTATAAAGAGATTACACTCATTTATTAATACAGATAATCAAACATTGTCCTACCAATAAAATTCAGGTAAAGTGTTGGTTAAAAAGGACACTTATCCAAAAGACATGAAATTTTCAAATCAAAGACATACCTGATCCACTGTATTTATTTCAGCACTGTTCAAAATACCAAGAAATGGAATCAACCAAGGAGTCCATCATCAGATGATGGTTAAGCAAAGACTTTATAAGCTCTGACCCCAAAAGTATGATCCATGAGAAAAATAACTGATAAGCTGAACTGGACTAAAATTAAAAACTTCTGCTCTTTGAAAAACATTGTAAAGAATAATATGAGAATCCACAGACTGGGAAAAGTATTTCCAAAAAACTTACATGATAAAGGACTCTTATTCAAAATACACAAAGAGCCTCAAAACTCAATAATTTTTAAACTCAATTTAAAAATGGGCCAAGGCCATTAATAGACATGTCACCAAAGAAGATATACAGATAGGAAATGAGTACATAAAAAGATGTTCCATATGAAATATCATAAGGGAAATGGAAATTTATGTTTCAATAAATAATTTTTCTTTTTTAAAAACATTTATTTATATGAAAGGCTGAATTAGAGAGAGAGAGAGAATGAAAGATAAAGAGAGAGATCTTCCCTCTGCTGGTTCACTCCCCAAATGGCCACATCATCTGAGGCTAGGCCAGGATGAAGCCAGGAGCCAGGAGCATCTTCTGGCCCTCCCACATGGGTGCAGGGGCCCAGAGACTTGAACCATCTGCTGCTGCTTTTCCAGGCACATAAGCAGGGTGCTGGATTGGAAGAAGTACAGCTGGAACTTGAACTGGTGTCTATATGGGAAGCCACGGCTGCAGGCAGCATTTTAACCAGGAGTGCCACAGTGCCAGCCAGAAATGCAAACCACTACACAAATATTAGATTGGCCAAATCAAGAACACCTGACAATGCTAAATGCAGGCAAAGGATATAGAGTAACAGTAACTTTAGTTTAATGCTGGTGGGAATTCAAAATGAACTGAGTTTGACAATTTTTACAAATCTAAACATACCCTTACCATATGATGCAGCAAGATCACTTCCTTGGTATTTACCCAAAGAGCTGAAAACTTATGTCCACACAAAAACCTGCACATGGATACTTATAGTCATTTTATTCATTATTGCTAAAACAGAAGCAACCAAGATATCCTTCAGTAGGATGGAATATTATTCAGTGCTAAAAAGAAATGAGCTATCAAGTCATAAAAATATGTAAGAAACTTAAATGCATACTGCTAAGTGAAAAAAGCCAATCTGAAAAAGCTATATTCTATATGATTCCAAATGTTTGACATTCTAGAAAAGGCAAAAGAATGGACACAGTAAAAAAATCAATGGTTGCAAGGACTGCCTCAAATAAATGAATAAAAATCTTTAAAAGAAAGTAACAAAGGAAGAAATAAAAATAGAAACATCCTAAGAATAGAATATAAAACAACTGCAAAACATGTCATAGAAGTATTGATAAAAACAAGCTTTTGGTACTTTGCGAATATTAACAAAATTTATAAATCCTTAGGTTCTATGAACCACAAAAAAAGAAGGAAGGAAGGAAAGCAGGTAGGCAGGCAGGCAAGAAGGAAAGTGGTTGGCTGTTTGTTAAGAAGAAAGAGAGAATAAGTAACATTAGAAACAAAAGACAAGGCAGAGAAGTCTAGATTTCTTAGCATGCTGACGGACCAAGCAGGCCCAAGTGAGGCAGGACACTGAGGAAGGCCCAAACATCCAAGAGCAGCATGAAATCCAGGAGTCCTCCAAGGAAGAATTATCTATGAAAAATAGAGATCAGAGAGAAGACCATGAAATACACTAATGGAAGGGACAAATAAAAAGCAGCATAAGGTAACCATATACTGGCTCTTCAATTATTTTCTTTTCTAAGTAAAAAGGCTAGAATTACATAAAATAAAATCAATTTAGAACAAAACGGCTTTATTAACAACTATTTCCATAAGATTATACTAATATAGCAGAAGGCTGAAAATGAACTTAATTGTCCTGTTATGCAGCTGAATAGTCCATTGAAAAATCAAGGTATTCATTAAGAGGGTACAGCCAAACTTCCTCCAGAGAATCATCCCTAATCTAGCTACCCAGGAATGGTCTGGTTCCAGATTTTATGTGCTGGGAAACACCTTTTTGGCACAATACCTGATTGTTTTGTGTAATTTTCATTAAATAAATGTATATAAAAACTACCAAAGAACTCAGTGTTATATTTCATGTATGAGTATATATACTTATTTACTTATATTTGACATGCATGTTTCTGAGACATATCAAACCATGGTAGGTAAAACTGTAAAGTCATTAAAAATATAAATCTAAATCTTCCAGAAACATGCCTCCCCTGGAGACAGCCCTTCCCTGCACAAGGCTCTCAGACTGTGCCCACAGGCTTTCGGTTTTAACAGAGGAAAATGCATTAAAGCATTGATCATTTGCCTTTAAATAATATAAAAAATACCAGGTATTAGTAGACACAGAATTTTGTAAAACAAGCTTTCCTGGTATCCTTATAACCATAAGTATAAGAGAATCACTGCTCTCTGTCAATTCTTTGGGCTAACACTTAGGATATCTAGGCCAAGATGTGAAATTTAATGAATGTATAGAGTCAAATAAATCATATATAATCCAGTTCTTCCTTCACATACAATCTTATTACTGAAAATGAAAAACAAAACTCCCCTAATCATGGATGTCTCTTGATCAAAATGTTTATTAAATAATCTAATAATAAATAAAACACATTGCTAATTCAAGGTCACAATGCTCTCACTGAAAATAAGTAACTTTAGGCATATGTGAACTTATTTCCTATTCTCAACATCAACACACCCTGGACTTTCCTCCTTTCTCAGTTTTGTTCATATGAGAATAAACCAATCCTGGCTTTCTTTAGAGAAACCCAACAAATACCTTCTCTTGCAGTTTTCCCCATATCTTCTCCATCAAAAGTCTTCCTTCTCCCCTAAGAATTCCATAGCACTTGCACTCTTTCTTCTTTATGATTCTTGTCCAATAATATAGTATAGTGTAGTTATTTCAGTGTCAACACACGTCCCATATTTAATTAAAGAATCTGAAGGATAATATTTCTGCCTGAATTATAATATCCATCACAATTCCTGGAAAAATTCTCTAAAAAATTCTTTAAAATTTTAAAAAATCTTTAAAAACTATTTCTAAAACCACTGATGTAGCAATAAATGAGAGTGATTTCATTAGTAGTACAAAAAACCAACTCTCCAGAAATACAAATACCAAAACTAGAGACAGCTGCCAACTTCCCATATGATACCACCTTTTTTCTGGGGCCTTAACGACTCAAATATGTAGTATTCATTCATAAAAAAATTTTTTTAATTTATGAAAAATAGTTACATGCCATACAAAATACAAATTAAGATGCTTAGAAATAACATAGACACTACTAATCAGGACCTCCAAAGGAAGTACCTACCTCACTTAAAATAGGAACTTGGGAAATGACAAGGTTTAATTATCAACTGGGGCATTCTTACCCACGCAGTCCTTTCCACAAGAAGACAGGAGCACCGAGGACAAAGGCTCCAGTGTTTCTATATTCTCAAGGCATTTTGGTCTTCTAGATTCTGCTTAGATTCTGCATAGAGGAATTAAATGTAATCACCTTGTTATTTAATAAATATCAGGCAGAGTTTCACAAGATAGATGGAAAAATAATTTCTAGTTCAGATTAATTTATAAAATGCCTATTCACCTGTAATTCACAGCTAAGATTCTCCATAGACCTCTGTAATCTTTAGCAGACAAATCTCAAAATACTTTTTTATTTAAATCACCTTTTCTAATTACTCTTATTAGGGAATTCCCAGAGATGTTAATTCCTTGCCATGTAGCAATTTGTAGCAGTAGCTTTGGTAAAAATGTTAAATACACTTTATGGTATGCAGGAATGTGTGTGCATATGCCTGCATGTGTGTGCACACACATATACACATATATGCACGTGTCTACACACACACACACACACACACACAGGTCCACGATCCAGTAGCTCCATATGAAGTTAAATAACAAATGCAATGAAGTACATTTGATGAATGAGCTTTAAATCGAATTCATTTTAATCAAATATTGGCCATCATCCTGAAAATATTATAGCTTCCTATTTATACAGAGTTTATCATCATCCTTGTCATCATCTGAAAGCAATAACATGGACAGTACATTATGCTGACTGTTGCATAGCATATTGTGATTTACTATACATCAGAAAGACCTAAAAAGTCTAGACTGCATTCTAAGCTATTAGTTGGAAAGATAGACAAGCAGATGCCAAACAATGAAGATTTAGCAAAGTAAACATCTGCAAACATTGAATGTTGACTTAGGGATGTATATGAATGTACATGCAAAGGCAGGATTTTTAAGAGGTTCCTAAAGGAAAAAAATAGGCTTGGGAACATCAGAGAGAATTTCACAAATGTGTGTAATCTAGAGTAACAGGTGTGTGAAAACACGACGGTAAGCCTGCCTCTACGCTAGACAGTTTAGATCATTACTTTATTGAAGATCTACATTTAGTAATGCTAGCTCTGCTTTTCGTATTAATAATATTAACTTCTTAGATAAAGACATTGAAGTTTGAAAAGGCACAATACCTTGTTCAAGGACAAAGAGTAATAGACAGTAGAGCCAGAGAACAACTCAGACACTTCTAACTCAAAAACTCCACTCTTAACCACTTGGTATACTGCTTCTCACAATGAAATGAGTGAGGAGAAACTTCTGCAGAAAGATGCAATGCCTTGGCCAGGGCAGGGGCTCACTGGGATAATCCTCTGCCTGCGGCGCCAGCACCCAGGTTCTAGTCCAGGTTGGCCGTAGCGGCCATTTGGGGGGTGAACCAACAGAAAAAGGAAGACCTTTCTCTCTGTCTCTCTCACTAACTTTGCCTGTCAAAAAAAAAAAAAAAGATGCAATGCCTCAAGACTCAGAATTTTTTTTTTAAATCTGGAAGAATCACAGTAATGAGCAAAAGGAAATGACAGCAAAAAGTTCTTAGGGGTAGACCACAGACAAGTGTCTTCTTTGGCAGGGAAAGAATGCATTTTCCTGGGGGGAAAAAGATAAAATTTACCCTGTTATCAAAGTGCTGGAATCAAGTACTTGGATCAAAAACCAAATATGGATTAAAATGATGATGCAGGAACAGGTACTAGAGACTTCACACCAGGAAAAACTTGTCATCCTAAAAAGCAGTTGCTTAACAAAATAACAAGCCCCCAAAGTATAAGTAAGCAATGGCTTAGATTGTTTAATTTTATATTTAAGTTTTTGCTACTCTAACTATAGCTCAAACTCAGTAGCAGCATTGTTTTTGTAACTTTTATTTAGCAAATATAAATGTCCAAAGTACAGTTTATAGATTACAATGACCTTTTCCCCCCCATAACTTCCCGACCGCCTGCAACCCTCCCATCTCCCACTCCCTCTCCCATTCCATTCATATCAAGATTCATTTTCAATTCTCTTTATATACAGGAGATCAATTTAGTATATAATAAGATTTCATCAGTTTGTACCCACACAGAACATAAAGTGTTAAATACTGTTTCAGTACTAGTTATAGCATTAATTCACATTGAACAACACATTATGGACAGAGATCCTACATGAGGAATAAGTGCACAGTCACTCCTGTTGTTAACTTAACAAATTGACACTCTTGTTTATGGCATCAGTAATCTCTCTAGGCTCTTGTCATGAGTTGCCAAGGCTATGGAAGCCTTTTGAGTTCGCCAACTTCAATCTTATTTAGACAAGGTCATAGTCAAAGTGGAAGTTCACTTCTCCCTTCAGAGAAAGGTACCTCCTTTTTTGATGGCCTGATCTTTCTACTTCTACTGGGATCTCACTCACAGAGATCTTTCATTTAGGTGGTTTTTTTTTGGTTTTTTTTTTGTTTTTTTTTGTTTTTTTTGGTAGAGTGTCTTGGCTTTCCATGCCTAAAATACTCTCATGGGCTCTGCAGCAAGATCCAAATGCCTTAAGAGCTGATTCTGAGGCCAGAGTGCTGTTTAGGACATCTGCCATTCTATGAGTCTGCTGCGTATCCCACTTCCCATTTTGGATCGTTCTTTCCCTTTTTTATTCTATCAGTTAGTATTAGCAGACACTAATCTTGTTTATGTGATTCCTTTGACTCTTAGACCTATCAGTATGATTAACATTAATGGAATGTTATAGAAATCTGGAGAGAACAGTGACCTGCCACCAACCTAGATAATGAAAAAGAGTACAGCTGATAGCTTCTAAACATACAGAAACATATTTTCTATCAACCATACAAAATCACTTCAAACATATAAAAAATACCAAAGTTTAATTTCTCCATAAATCTTTTAAAATTTAGAAAGTGATAATACACGTAGGCATCTTAAGTGTTGGTTAATGCTACAATAAGGGAAAGCATGTGGGAAGTTCAAAGTCTCTCTTGAATGGTCTTCACCTGTTTGAGGGACTGCCAAAAATCAATGAGTGGTGTGTTAAGAAGTTTGAAACCAGCCAGCGCCACAGCTCAATAGGTTAATCCTCCACCTGCGGCACCGGCACCCCAGGTTCTAATCCTGGTTGGGGTGCTGGATTCTGTCCCGGTTGCTCCTCTTGCAGTCCAGCTCTCTGCTGTGGCCCGGGAGGGCAGTGGAGGATGGACCAAGTGTTTGGGCCCTGCCCCGCATGGGAGACCAGGAGGAAGCACCTGGCTCCTAGCTTCTGATGGGCATGGTGAGCCGGCCGTAGTGCACTGGTCACAGCAGCCATTTGGGGGGTGAACCAATGGAAGGAAGACCTTTCTCTCTCTCACTGTCTAACTCTACCTGTCAAAAAAAAAGTTTAAAACTATTATTGGCTAAGATAGGCTATACATGAGAACTACAAAAATAAAAATGAAGAACTCTGAAGATGAGAAAAAAAGGAGCTCTTTGTTGTGGGGAGCAATTCGGACTAGACTGAGTTACTGGAATTAAGACTTATTCTATGCATCTGCTCTCCCACAATATGGCGCTGGGAGAGAAGTAAACAGCTTCTACCCAGCTGCCTCTCACCAACTTGACAAGCTGCAGGAGCTGCTCCTGATTGGAGGAGAGCGGCGTGCTCGGCGTGTGGGCAGCCGAGTTGGGATTGGTGGAGAGGACTATATAGGAGGAGAGAGACGGCATAGTGGTGTGGGTTGGTTGGAGAGTTCGCTGGAGAGTTCGCGGGGAAGTTCGTTACTTCGTTCTTTCTCATTTCTCTACTCATTCTTGCTTTGGGAGTTTGCTGTTTACTTATTCTTACTTTACTATAGAAAGGACTTGTAAAAAAAGGGAACAACAAGCGCCCGGTCCGGTGCGGCTCCTCCGCGTGCGGAGGAGCAGCAAGTGGTGCCGTGACTCGGATAGGAAACCTAGGAGGGAAAGACCGGGAAGAAGTGGGAAATTACTGGAGAGAGAGACTAGCAAAGAGCCTAGGGGAAGGCCGGACGGAAAGAGTGCCGGTGAAAAGCTAGTTAGAACCTAGGAAAAAAGCCGCGGGGGAAGAAAAGTAGAAGCTAGGAAAGAGGTATTAACTGGGAACGTCTGGGAGACTCAGTCTTCCATTACGCCCACTGCTCCAACATGTCACAGACGGTACAGACAATGGAGTTCTTTGGCTACTCTTTGCCCACTGGCTACCTCTTCCTCCTGCTGGGCACCATCCTCTGTTTCTCCCTAAAGATCATCCATTATGGGCTGAATATGGTTTCTCTCTCTCTCTCTTCCTACTCCCCACCTCCTCGCAGCTTTTCCTCTAAGCAAGGGAAACGAGGGGGGAGGAAAATTCATGCATTCGTAAGAGCAATCGTAGAGACGTCCCCCTGGTTTCTACAG